TATAAAGACTGAAGTATCCGGGCGTGGGCACTTTCCCGGCATTCCCCACGAAGGGTTTAGACGGGTTTTTCCCCACGGCCCGCAAGCACTGGGTACCAGCTTCCGACCACAAGACCATTTATTTATTCATTGCGTTCACACGATTCATTAATGATTACTAAAGTACTTTTGAAATTGAATGTTATTTTAAAACATTGTAAAATTGTTCATTATAATTGAATAAAATTTATATTCTATATTTTTTTCTGTCTAAAAAACGGAAGGCGTGTAAAATAATCACCAGACTTGCAAATTAATTTTATGTGCACGCGCCTCGTTAAAGCATCTGTCGAATTATCTTGCCAATCTGCAACGTCCCAATTGAATTTTATGAGACCATATGATATATGAGATTTGATGTAACTTTCCAATAAAATCGTTTTCAAATTGAAATTTGCAATTAAGTTTATTTCACACTAATTTGGCTGTTCCGTCCACCTCCCCTCCCCTCCAACCGCTATTGGCCTTGCGAGTAAACGGTGGTCTATGAAATTGATTCTACACTCAATTTATGATTTTAATTATTTTGACGAAATCGAAAACACCAGTTGATAATTATTACTTCATTCACAAACTTATGGGTAATCCCGGTCGGAAATTCACAAATTATTAGACACGTCCCGACTTGACGTTTCATGCTCTATATTCAGCCTATTTCCTTTTCAATTACAATCTCGGTAATGTTTTAACGGATGGCAGGTATTATAAAATCTCAATTTAGAAGTACATTCGTAAAAAGAATCAAATTTCCTGTTTTTGTCAAACCCTCAGATTTTGAGTCAATAGCTCACGCACACCGTGTTTCTACAGGATATTTCCACGCCGAGACAAAATCAGTTCATTAACAAAAAGATGGAGGAACAAAGCATTTTTTCAAAGAGACCAAGGTAACCAGACACAAACACAGCGGTTGCAAGGTCCAGACACGGATATGATGGCTTTATGTACATGTACCCGGTACAGACATACTATATTAGTACTAGTACATCATTAAAATTTAGGCAAAAACAAACCCATTAAAGGACAAAATTCCTTTTATTGTATATTTCTTGTCCTTTTTCATCATAATGGTAAAACAATAAATTTGTTTCATTAACGTCACACAATACAGAGAGTTGTTAATTGCGAGCATTTGGTGTCTTAATGTTAGGCATGTTAATGTGAAGAAAAGTGAAATAAGCTGTCAAAAATAAACAAATATATGAGAATTAAACAAAATTACACACATACACAAAAGAAATAGAGCTGGTTAACAATTGGTAATGAGGAAAAACAAACAATCAAACAAACAAACTTTCCAGCAAAAATCCCTTGATGATATTTCACATTGATGATATTGGACAAAGTTTCATTATTATCACAGTCTACACAAATTCACAAGAATCCTAAGATCTTTTGGCAGAAGACCCTATTATTAATCAACATGTAATTACCCGGAGTATCATAGACCGCATTCAGAACAGCGGAATAACAGATCCACCAATCAAATATGGCCGGTTGATTGTAATGCCCTTTTATGTTACATATCCATAACATCAATACTGTTTATTGTTAACATTTCAGTATTTTCTTAACAAACCCTGTAAAATATAAACAGCTATAACTCTCTGTAATCTCCTATAACTGTAATTTAAGTCAGCCTTCATTGTCTGGAGGCAATTTTATTACTTATTTATTTATATTGGGATATCTATCAACACTCGAGTATAGCAGTATATCTTTGGAGTACACATTGAAAATAAGCTATAATTATAGAATCTCAACCACTAAAAATGTAACATTTTTGACAAATGATTGATATAATTTTCAAAGGCATATTCATTAAATTAAATGAAAATAATTTTTGCTCACCAATTTGACTAAAAAAATTCATTTGGATAATATTTTAGACTGTTCAACCAAGATACAAAGATTATGCTACAGTGCACATCCAGTAAGTATTAAGAAACAGTAAAGAAGTGAAAACAGAAGTAACAACTTAAATAAGTAGTTATATATTAAAACAGAAATAAATTGTAAATAAATTGAACAAAGGTTACATCTGGCCATCTGGTGATGTAAATTAGTCTATTTCAAGTCTAATTTAGTCCTGATATGAACACAACCTATTGTTAATTTTAGTAACACACACAGTCAATAACCTCACATGAGAACGCATGCACGCACACACACACACACGATTAATCATCCATGCAGAAACTACATATTGCAACTATCCCTACGAAAACAGAAATAGTGCAAATATATTAACTTATTCCTTTCAAAGTACAGAACAAATAATTTTCCTCGCACAATTTCATTCTAAAATCAGCATTTGGATTTACATTTCACGAACCTTGAGGTTTTTCATATTTTGTCATCTTAAGGAAGACAAAGATGATTTTCCTATGGCAACTGTTACAGTAATGTCTTGATCTTTTCAACGGGGGAAAAATTGTGAATTTTACATATACTGTATTATTTAAGTCACAAATCCTTAAAAATTGAATGTTCCAACTAATTGGTAGCAACAAAATTGAAAAGCATGCTACCTTATAGATTTTTTCCATACAGTAAAAGCATCACAAATGCTATATGAAAATATTTTTTTTATGATTCTAAAATTATGTATCTGCCCATTGAAAGGATCGAGTCATTAACTGTAAATAAGTAAATTCCTGCTTATCTGTTACATCTTGAACTATAATCAATTGAACTAAGATCATTACAGATAAATAAATTGATACATATGACTGTTTGTATGGATTATAAATGGCAAAAGCTGAAGGCATGATTTAAAGGCTTACATACAAGTTCCATCAATTTTCCTTAATCAACAAAATATATCCTATCCAAAACTGTTGAAAAAATATCTACACACCTGTTTTTAGTTATAAATTTTCATTTTTTTTTCATTATGAGTGAAATTCACCACTATCCAACTACTTTTTAAAAATACTAAATGGGGTTTACAGATTTGAATTTTGCAAACAGTTTTGGATATAGTGCATCTTGGGGATAAAGAAAAAAGTGCTGGAATTTCTAGGAAAATCACTATTTGGTGTATAAAGCTCTAATGCCCATCACATGCTCTGAAGGTTTTAACATTGCATGTCTGTATCAAACACAGCCAAGCCTTGGTTATCTGTACATAAATCATTCTGTTATCACATTGCTGCTTCCTGTTCACTCCAGGATTCTTTAGTGATTTTTTTTTAAAACAGAAAATACTGCTTATAGCCAGCACTGAATTTCTTTAGAGAACGCTCCAACATTGGACTATGACATATAATCTTGTTTAAAGTTAGAATTGTACTTAAAATATGTCGCTTCACTTTCAGTTAAGTGACCTTTATTCAAAATATGATACATGCTCAATCTATTTCTTAAAGTTGTTTTTGTTCAGGATGTGGCGCCCTCTTTTAATCTTTTCAGGGTAAGATGTATTCTGACTCCTAGGCGATTCTCGAAGTCATATTCCTTGAATCCATCTTTAGCTTTGAGCAGGTAACTTTTTCCATTAGCTAGGGTCTAAAAAGAGAAAAAAATTAAATACCATATCTTTTCCTTTTCTACGTCATATTTTTTAAAATATATTATTATATACTCCCAAAGAATAGTAGTCCTTCAACTGACATTTGCAGATTGTTTGTGCAAACATATAGATCTATAAAAAGCTTGATTCTGGTGTATACAATTCAGTAAGGAACCTTTTAAGAAAACATACCTCTGGTTTCTGTATCAGTATAATTTTAAGAAAACGTACCTCTGGTTTCTGTATCAGTATAATTTTAAGAAAACATACCTCTGGTTTCTGTATCAGTATAATTTTAAGAAAACATACCTCTGGTTTCTGCCTCAGTATAATTCTAAGAAAACATACCTCTGGTTTCTGCATCAGTATAATTCTAAGAAAACATACCTCTGGTTTCTGCCTCAGTATAATTCTAAGAAAACATACCTCTGGTTTCTGTATCAGTATAATTTTGAGAAAACATACCCCTGGTTTCTGTATCAGTATAATTTTAAGAAAATATACCCCTGGTTTCTGTATCAGTATAATTTTGAGAAAACATACCTCTGGTTTCTGTATCAGCATAATTTTAAGAAAATATACCTCTGGTTTCTGTATCAGTATAATTTTAAGAAAACATACCTCTGGTTTCTGTATCAGTATAATTTTAAGAAAACATACCTCTGGTTTCTGTATCAGTATAATTTTGAGAAAACATACCCCTGGTTTCTGTATCAGTATCATTTTAAGAAAATATACCCCTGGTTTCTGTATCAGTATAATTTTAAGAAAACATACCTCTGGTTTCTGTATCAGTATAATTTTAAGAAAACATACCTCTGGTTTCTGTATCAGTATAATTCCCAGCTCGTACATAGCAAAGGCAGCCACATGCTGGTCGTCCTTCATACCCTGGTGACGAGCTATGGCCTCCTCAAAACACTAGAATAATAATAATAATAATAATAATAATAATAATAATACATATTCCAACAGAAAAATAGGGGAGAAAATTTGGAGTAACAATACAAGTTTACATCTTTCTTGAATAATTTGACCTGTTAAGATTTATTTATAAGCAATACGGCTGCATTCACTCCAATAATAAGTTGAACCTTATAATGACCATGTTACATCAGACACTCAAGGAATATTCAAAATTTCAAGGCTATACTTTTGTCTGATGTTAAGGTCTAATGTAAAATGCTGTTTTTCAAAACTTCCTTTAAAAACAAATAACTAGATGGCAGCACTTAACCAAACACAAGGTGGCAGCACTTACCACAGCAGCCATCTCCTCGTTGTCTGATAACTTGTGGAGGGCGCCCTCTACCAAGCTACGCAAATGGAACAACTTCTTGTCCTCAATTTTGGAACATTCTGGAAAAAATTACCACAACAGATTGCAAATCATGGACCTTGAATATAAACAACTTTTAAAGTTAACATTACTTTGTATATAACTATAGAAAATCAAATGTTTCTAAAAAGGCAAAAGTTGAAAAAGGAAATTACTGCTAAAAAACCTAAGAAATAATTAAAGTCTGCATAAAAAAGATAAACTACAGGGATGACAATTTTTGGCCCCCAAAAAGTAGGGAATCTGTCTATGGTCACAAAAACCTCTTTACTGTTGTAAGCACCAAAGCCACCCAAAAGCCAGAAATCAGCCAATAGTCAGGAAAATTTCATCTCTATAACTTGAGATATTGAATTGTTCACTATGAAGATCACGATGACATAACCCTCACCCTCCATCATCTTATCCAGACAGTCCTTGGTACAAAGAGGCAGAGCATTCCACAGGTAGAGAATTTCCAATCCCAACAGAATACAGTGGTCCTGGTCAGGTGCCTGCTTCTTGAAAGTATTAGCCTGGAGAAGACACAGAATGTGTTCATGTCACACCTAAAACATTCTTAAAGACTGGAGAAGAAAATGTATTCATGTTACACGTAACACAATTCCATTTAAAAGCCTGGAGATGACTGGTAGTTTGTTCACAATGTACTCTTTGAGAGCTTAGAGGAGACAAACCGTGTGCTTCAAGGATGTAATCAAGTCATTTCTTTACTGTATGAAATTAACAATCACCCCCTCACTCACCCACCTGATCATTCATCTATACATGTGACTACTTCCACCCTACCTACCCACCCTGATCAACCATCCATCCACTCACTTATTCACCCACTCTATTACTTAAACAAGCAAGTCTCTCTTTTTCTTTCTCTCCACACATACACACTTCTCTCTCCACTCCACTCACACATACACACACTCATGGCAACCTTACCCTCCTAGCCACAAAGCTCTCAATCCAGTTATTCTTTCAGGGCCAGCACCCCCCAAAAAAAACAAAAAAACAAACACACACACACACACCAAACCACCTTCATAGAAACCTTACCCTCCTAGCCACAAAGCTTTCAATCTGGTTATTCTTCCTCTTCACCAGGGCCGGCACCTCCCTAAACATGGTGTGTGCCCCCTTTACATCCCCCAGGGATCCCTGGCACACCCCAGATAAGTAGGCGTAGTATGCCTTGGACCAGCGGGACTCCTCCTTCATCCTGGTGGGAGAAATGACACGAGGTAATGCAATCAATCCATTTATTCCAATACAACACTGACAATGTCTTCTTGTGTAAAGAAGGGTAAAGTTAATTATTTTTAGTCTTATTTAGTTCTTATGTGAACATGACACACTGGTGGGGGAAATGACAAGAGATAAGGCAATCAATCTATCTGTTAATTCCAATAAGAACACTGTCAATGTCTTCTTGTGTAAAGCTAGATGAAAATGACATGGGGTAATGCAATTTATCTTTGAATTTCCAAAATGCCACATTGGATTTGTTTTCTTGTTTTTTTTAAAGGTGGAGTATATTTTTAGTCGCATTTAGTTCTTATGTGAACATGACAGTGTCACATCAATCAGTCTATTTTAGGTCTGGCTTGATCCCAGCATGATCACATCCTCGTAACACTACTCAGTTTTCTTTTAGACCCCATTCCCAGAGATTAGATTGATCCAAACTAGATCGACCTAACTCCCTGGGGGTTCACGCTAAATAGCTGTCAGCCGAGCGGGCACCAAAGTTAATTACCTCCTTACAGCTTGTAGTAAGCGGGACGGACATTTAAGCCGGATTAGCTGACAGTAATCTAGTGAGACTCCCCACGGGGATAGATCGATCTAAAATCTATGGGAATACGCCCTTAGTCTAAATTCCTCCTGAAGTGATGTCAGCCTGGTGTAATCAATTTGTCTAATTCTAGTCTAGGCTTGCCCTGATAGGATCAAGTCTCTTACCTTGTAAATGCAGCAAAAGAGTCTCTCCAGTTCAATTTCATTAAATTTGACCACCCTATAAAATATTAAAGAAAACAGTACAGTAAGGTGATGCCATTGTTCAATATGTATACTTTTTTAAAGCCTGCAAACAAGTTTTTATTGAATTTTTTTTTAAATTTTGCATTTTCTTCTGACCTCTGTGGCAGATTTGGATATGCTATGCTGTGCTATAAAAATCTACTGACCCATTTCATATACACATATATGTTGCACTTCCCTCTCCCCTTCACATCTCTCCAGGGCATGTTGGAAGGTGGCTATAGACATATCCACATCGCCCTAAAAGTAGCAGTATTTCTGCATATTAAGGGTTTGAAAATTATATGAAAGAAAACAATAATAATACATTAAATCTTTTAAAATACTATAAAACTGCTTTGGTAGGAATGGCTTTATGCAGTCTGTGCCAAAAACATCGAGGCCTACTAGCTCTTTGGAACAACAGAGTCAAAGAAGCTGGCCAGTAAATAAACATATTTACAAAATTTTACTGGGCAAGCTACAATCTCACTGAAATGGCATTCAGCATGGGACCTGTGTTAATGCTACAGAAAATAAATAAACAAATAAAAAAATAAATAAAAATATAAATAAACAAAAACCTTAAGCACTAGTACTTACCTTCAGCCTCTGAACTCTCCCCTTATAGAACAAGAATAGAGCAGAATTGGGATATGTCTTCTCTATCCTCTCAATGATCTTCTCTCCTTCTTCCACTCCTGGAAAAAATATGATAAAAAATGCAATGTCTAATTTTAAATATAGGTCTGAAGCATACTAATTAATTACTATAAATAAATCAATAAATAGGTGAGTTTTTACCTACAAGAATTCAATTGTAAATGAGCTGTTATAAAAGGTCTTTAAATTCTAAAACTACCAGAAGCAGACAAACAAAAACAAACATACAGAAAGAAACTGGTAGACAAGTAGACAGACGTACATACAGACAGCCAGGAATACTGACAAACAGACAGACACACAAAAACAGCCTGATAGTAAACAGGGAGGAAGACTAACAAACTAAAAGACATATAAACAGACATAGAAACAGAAAGAGACTTACCCGCATGGATGTTATTTCCATCTAAAGCAAAGAATTGCCGTATCACAGTATGGTACCACAGCAGTCCCAATCTGAAATATCAATATTTATAGATATATTATCAAAGTATGGTACCACAGCAGTCCCAATCTAAGTTATAAATATGTAAAATTATATCATGGTGATGAAGTTGCCATTACCTCAAACATATTCAATATTGTGGTAAGTGAGAGTGTTAACTTTTTGAGGCAATTAATACCTTAGCATCACAACTATGACAGGAATATCCCATATCACACGATAGTCATATGATTATGTGCCATGTACTTCCATAGCCAAAGGAGTCTTGGAATCACTATAATGAGTAGATGTCAGTCTTGTGACTGTGTACACTATACTTACGTGGCCAGAGGAGCCTTGGCATCACTACTATGGCTGGAGAACTCCATTGCTGCCAGACCCACTTCTCTATTGCCTTCAAAACCTGGTAACAGATCCACTAAATAACATTACAGTGACCCAGTTATGAATGTGTCACAAGGCAGTCATGTGGTTATGTACAATGTACTTATTATATATGACCAAAACCTGGAAACAGATCCATTAGAATCACTATTGTAGGGCTCTATCCAAAACTTAATTCGGGGTCTGAATCACAAAATAATTTTAGACCCAAAATTGGTTCCAACTTTTAGTCTACTTTGATCTAACATAAATCAGTTTAAGACCAATTTGTGCTCATTTAATAACAAGAAAGAAATAAACAGAATAAGCCTTACCTATAAACTCTATCAACTTAAGTATCTTTGGCGGTATAAGAGATATACACAGTTGAAACAGACCATAGCCAAAACTGACTGCACCCATCAGCCGGGCCAGCCTTTCTCCATGCAGCTCCGCCTTGGACAAGTCACCGCTAACCCCACTCACTCCAGTGCTGGACATACTGGACATACTGGTTCTGCTATCACTATGTGGAATGTTAGCAGAGCCGCCTGTCTCATCGCTGCCAGTTTTAGAGTCCAAACTATTCTCAAAGGAAGACATATCCACAGCAGAAGGGGGAGCTGACAGGGCGACGCCCCCGTTGGCGTCAGGCCAAGACTCTTTGTCATAGAGAGCTTTGATCTCTCTGTAGACTTTTTCATAGATTTTCCAGGCTTTTCTCATGAGCCATCCGCCCTTGACGTAGCTGGAGATGTCCTGGTTGATGAACGTCAGCACGGCCTGGTGCATCATGCAGTCTGCCACGATGATCTGACGTGTGAATTTGTCTTCCAGCGAGAGCGTTGCTTCCTGGGAATTATAATAAACAAATATGTAATTGTTATTATTACTAGATGATCATAGTGATATGTCCCTGAATCTGCCTTCCAGATAGTTGCTCCTCAAGAAATATTATGTATGCTTTTTATAGTAATATAAATAATTCAACTCGCCTTATTTTCCTGCTATAGACACATATAAATAAATAAATAAATAAATACTGACTAACCTATCAATGCATACAAACACATTTTACTTACTTTAACCTCTGTTTTCTTTCGTGAAAATTTTCTCTTCATGTATTTCACAAATCCCTCTCCAAGCTCACATTTCTTCTGTGTCTGCTGCAGAAGTTTCATGGCCTCGGCCAACTTTTCATCTTCAAATGTCATCATTGCTTGCTAAAGACCAGACATATTGCAAAATTATAAGAATTATGTTTATCAATAAGTTACTCATCACAAATAGTTCCATTTTTAAAAGTAAGTAAGTAAAAACTAATTGGAGAAACAAAAGAAGAAACTGAAAAGCAGACATACAGAGAGAGAGAGAGAGAGAGAGAGAGAGAGAGAGAGAGAGAGAGAAAAGGGCAAACTTACAGACATAGATATCAATTAGAGAAAGTCTTATAAAATTAAAACTTGCCATGAAAGTGATGAAGCTGTACCCTGCATTCATGGATGGGCTGTAATCTCTGGAAGGTAAAAAAAAGTAAATAAAATCACTGCTGGAATGATGACCTAGTAATAACTATTTTCTACATAACAAACAAAAGTCTATATAAGCTCAAAAGGGTGGGTGTAAACCTTTAACACACTACAGGGAATTAATAAATTAATTTTTCCAGTCTTTATCAAAATTGTTCCAGAACAGGTTTACAGTGAGTAACAGCAGAGCAAAGGCCCCCAAGGTCTTTTTTACCTGCAGTCTGAGCTTAAATTTTCTTCTCAATCTTATAACATTTTGCATTACAAGGCCATTTTTGTGCATGTTTTTTAGGTCTGCAAGTTCTCTTTTAATTGCCAGTGATTGCGAAAGAGATTGAAAACTTACCAGACATGTGGGCTGGAGCAAATTAAATTTTGTCAGCCCACACCTTTTTTTACCGGCCCACAACAAAATAATCAAGCTGTATATTTTCACTTCATTTTTGATGAATATTATTGTCTGGCATTTTAAATCGTTGCTTTTTAATTTTCAGGCCAGATGTAATAGGATGTTTAAAGGTTTAAGTTTAAACGTCTTTCATTTTGGTTGCTTTCTGGCATTTAAGTTTTATCCTTTTTACATCTGGGTTGCCTATCTTAATTTCTAATCTTTTAACACAAGATCATGTATCCTTTGTAAATTTTATTCCAATTTTTGACTTAAATTAAAACATAAGTCATAGTGAAGTGGAGCTTCCAACTTTTGTAACGTTTTTTAGATTTTCACTCTTGGAAAAATGCTTGTCTGTTAGCAGGGATTGTCCTGGGTCAAAATC